GAATCCACTGTAATTCTACGTTGGTCAACGCTGCAATATTCAAGCTACATGGATATGATAATTACTCGAGTATGGAAGCAAGAAACCAGTGATTGACATCACGAGCAACATCCAAGTCGTTTGGTCACGATGACACTGAATCAACCAAGTGACGGGGTCTGACCATCGCATCCATTTGGTCGCCCCGAACGACAAGCATAGGGTGCCGAGGACCTATACTGACCCGGAATTACAGCGGGGAGACCTTGAATAGGCTGCTTGTTGTTTTCCGCCGCACTCCGCAACATTCCAGCTATGACCAGACAAACCTATGATTGATAGTAAGAACAGCGTCCCACGTTTATTAAGGATGTTTTTAGAAACTAGTTTTAAGTATTTTGGGTACTTCCAACGTTCTGCTATATTTGCACTGATGTAATAATTTAAGACTGAATTCATACTTTAAGCTAAGTACTAAGTATTAAATAGTTAATGACTTGCTTTTCTAAAGAACTGGACACCTTTCAATCAACTGCACCAAACTTTTGACCACTCGTTTTGGCCTCATGGTTTATTCTCCCTGCAGTGTTTTATTGTTCGATAAACAACTCCCACTTATTTCTTAAGTATTTAATCTCTCATCCAAGCCTTACTATTTGAATGATATGAACAGATATCCAGTTGGACAAGGTGTGTAATTGTTTACACAATTTATATGTAATCTAAATAGCCAGATACAGCTGTTCACATACTGCTTTTGTGAATCTAACATGAACATATCGCACAATAGAACACACCTGAATTTTACATGGAATTGTGATAGAATTTTAGATATTGACCGTACTAATTTTGAACGCATGTGGATTCTATAAATTATATATTTATATGATATGGAATTATATCTGAAAATAAATCCATGTGACATGTTTGTAATCATAATTTCAGTATGTTATGGAGCTTTTTCTGCTCTGTATCCTGGTGATGTTGTGAGATATGTATGTGTAAGATGAATATTTTTACAAGACACTAATCCTTGCTCGTCACGCTGGGAAAAACAAATGAGCAACACTTTTTTGTTACAGCTTTAAAGACGTTATTCCGATGACACTGGTGCAGATGGAAGATCCACTGTTCTGCCACGTGTCCTGCAGGGGAATCAGGCCCAGGAGGGTCAAGTCAAAATTAGATAGGCGGATCATATGACGTGGAACACGAAAACAGCCAAACGAGTCTAGAATGTTACTTAAATTCGTCACCAGATTTCTGTACGTCATAGAAGGTGACTAAATTGGTGATCAGTTGGTCACAACGGCTGCTCAGCATTAGTTAATGTAATTGTTTTGCTAAATTTACTAAATTGTGGCGTGTTGTGAATCACAGAACCAATAGCTCTCTTGTTGTTGGGAGGAACTGCCACATTCACCCTGGAACTGAGCGGTTCGATGGTAATAAATCGTGATATCACTGTTCGTGCTGTCGATATATGTTCCACATTAATTAATCCAATGTACATAAACGTTTGCGTGTGATAACACGAACATGTAATTGCTGTTGTGCTATCGATGCTTGATGCAAAGTACAGAAACATACAGCATTTACGACTTTGTGCTTATTGTACATTGCACCAACCAAGTGAGCTTGAAAGAATTAGTTTGCGAGCAGCTTACAGAGATATTAGCCACTGTATGTTGGTAAATAATTATGTTAAACAGGTGAAGGAAACCCGCAAGAAGGGAGTATCATAACTTATTCTCGAGTAAATAATTGTAGTTTTCCTGTCATCAATATTACAGCTGTCTCATGTCAGTCTGTAAGTTTGTTTGCTGTTGTCGCGGCACTCAGGATTATTCCAGCTCCATGAAAGCGGCCTTTAAATAATCGAATCTAGACCCAGTGTGTTTAGAACAAGTACAAGACGTCTATTCGCCTCCACTCGCCCCTATTTCTGTGACCTGCAAGCAGCTTGTCCCGGAATGACACGATTTGGTAACGAACGAATCACGCCCACACCCCTCTAGGATAGATCTCACCGGCTGCTCAATTTCCCTGGACACCGGTAACCTGCTTGTCTCGGGTAAGTGTGTTGTCACAAGGCTTGTGTCTGCTTCACTTTTAACGCTACACACCTGTCCTACTGTGTACTGGTAACACCGCAAGGGTTCATCTAACTATACAGTCATCTCCAGGCAGATTCTCATAATCGGGCACCTAATTAAATATAACATGTAGGCTAACCGGGATAATTTAAAGAGCCACAGTCATTAAATACTCTGATCGGCCACTTGACTTCAATAGTGAGCCCGATCCCGATGTATGTGTATGTGTATATCACGTGTGTCTGTTACAGTTGTTACTGACATGATTCCTGACAAATGCCACAGTAAACCATACGGGAAAATACGTCCACATGACCATATTATTTCACATCTGATATGGTAGTATGTGAACTGTACTTTCGATATGGTAATGAGTGGGTGTCACCCCATAACTATGTCACGTGATCGATACACTGCACACGGTCACAAGTGCACACACCTCATGTTGTAAAGCCAGCCTGTGACTGATTTGACAAGCACCACCCACCTCCGTCATCGTGAGGCCACTGTTTCTGGGTTCTCGGTGTCACCATGCCATACATTGCATAACAAACGCGTACTGTCAGGCCATCAATATTTTACTTATTTTCCAACTTCAGCAAGCGGACTAAATCCAAACCAAACAACCGAACAAAACTACTGAGGTACCACCTCATGTGTTCAAAACTGGTTATGAATTTCGAGAAGTACATGTCCTGATGAACTGACGACATTATTAATGTGTTATATGAGTAGTTCAATGGTCCCTGTATCCATGCTAAAGTCGGGAAAGGCGGGGGGCTTACAAGATGTGTAGAATTGAAACTACAGTCATATCTTTTCTTCGAATATCCTGCAGTTAAAATATCGGGAAGATTGGTTTTCATGAAACGGAAAATATGCGAGATGATATATGTATATATATACAGATTGGTGATTGGGTGGCTATAAAGATGAGAAACACACACACGCACGCACACGCACACATACACACACGCGCGCGCACGCGCACACACACGCACGCACACGCACACGCACACATACACACACGCGCGCGCACGCGCACACACACAAACAAACAAAAACAAACCACACACACAGGTACAGTAAGCAAAAGTGAGACTCGTCTAAAAATGTCTGCGATGATGTTTTTATTAAACGGGATATTTGGTTATGTTTTCAAGATCTGGATGATTCCAGTTTGGGGAATAGGTTAATACACAATCCTTTATTTACATTTTTGATCGGGAGAGTAAATTATCACAACTGAAGTCGGCCTTAGTGTTTAAGAGTGATAAGCTCGGGCTGAGGATGAGACGTGCATGTTTTGTACACAGGCAATACTCGACTGGTTTGTCTTTTTCTAGGTATGATGGCGACCTCACAGAAGCTAACAGAACACTTCCTGACATGCACGATATGTACAGAGGTGTTTGACAAGCCCTGTACACTTGTATGTAATCACACCTTCTGTCGGAAATGTGTCGTCAACTACACCCAAACCAGACCAGAAGCCATCAGTGCCAAGTCTCTCCTGTGTCCATTCTGCAACAAGATGACGAAAGTGTCTGCCCCTGAGAGACCAGTGGAGGAGTGGGCGGATGACGTCAAGCCCAGCTTTGTCATCCAGGGACTCTTGGACTCGTTTGGCCCAGGGTCCAAAGGTGAGAGTTGTGGTTTGTATGAATATAAATGTTATTTCTAAACAGGTAACTCCACACCTGACTGGATTATAGGAATGTGTGTTGAGTGAGAAGATATGTTGTACGGTTTCAAAATTTATCGAAAGTCATTTATTAAGTTGTTTGTAGGCTGTATGTAGACCATGAAATCGTTTCGTGTACACTGTTTTTACAAGTAACAACGATTATCCAGACATGATTCGAAAGGGAGATGGTCTAAGGTCTATCTCAGACACATTCGCTGGTTTTTTTCTGAGATCTATATGGCGAATTCTATCAGTGAGACAAATCCAATGTTATTTACATAATATTTCACATTACGTCGTATTGGGATGTTATTAATGCATGTTGTCTCACCCGTGTGAGTGATATGCTACATGAAGTTCTGTAATAGATAGTGATATAGAACTGTTACTATCTCTACATGATTACATTCATATTTCAGATACGACTCACTGCAGTTATTGCAAGGAGGAAGGGGAGACAACTCCGGCTACATCTTGGTGCTCTGTTTGTGACGACGCACTCTGTGAACGGTGTATTCGAGTACACAGACGAATTCCATCTTCCCGACACCATGACGTAGTTGACCTGTCTGTAGAGACAAAGGTTAGGGTCAAGAGAAAGGTCATCTGTAAAATTCACAAAGATGAGAATATCAAATATATTTGTAAAGATTGTAAAACAGCTGTTTGTCAAACATGCTGCATTATTCATCACAGGAAATGTGACTTGGTTGTAGAAATTGAGTCGGAGATTCCTGCCATGAAAACCGAGCTGAGAAGGAATAAAGAGGATTTGTTGAAGAAACAGGACGAGATGAAAACACATGTTGGTAAACAAAACGTCAAAGTCAATGAAGCATTAACACTTTACTTACAAATAGAAGCAGAATATCAAGTCTGCAAGTCTCAAAGCAATAAAGATGATCAAAGTCAAGGAACAGAAACTTTTGGCTGAACTGAAAGAAATGTCTGACAAACACATTGGAGAACTGAAGGCAGACATAAAGTCAGGTGAGATGTCAGTACAGATGTACCAACAACAGGCAGAGCTGATAGACCAGACTCTACAATCTGAGTGTGACATGGGTGTGTATGAGATGTACCAGGGATGTGAGGCCGGTGATGTGGAGGCTGTCGGAGTCGCTGACGTGAAGGAGAAGCGACAAATAGCCAGGATCATGTTCAGACAGGACACGGACAAGCTGAGTAGAGCACTGGACGATCTACAGCTGGGTGAGATAGACGTCCTGTATGAGGATGTGCTGGACCTGAAGGCTACTCCTGTGTTACAGGACACCATTAACGTACTGGACCTGAAGGCTACTCCTGTGTTACAGGACACCATTAACGTGCTGGACCTGAAGGCTACTCCTGTGTTACAGGACACCATTAACGTCAGAGTAGCAGGAGATACATATGGCGCAAACCTCTTTGACGTGACGGTGTTAGTGGTGAATGATACAGACACAGTGGTAGTCACAGACGATAACAACAACAGTGTGAAGTCCTTCTACACCAGGAACAAGCAGCCAGGTCACAGCAGGCTCAGTGTGGGTGATCCTCCGTGGGGTATAACAATGTTGAATGACAACCAGGTGGCTGTCACTGTGCCGGATACCAGAGAGATTGTAACAGTACAAGTCAACCCTGACCTGGTGCTGCTGTCAACCATCAAAACCAGCAAACACTACTACGGTATAACGTCTCTGACACCATCAACACTCGCAGCAAGTTCCATCTCCCCTCCCTGTGTTGATATCCTGGGTATGACGGGACACGTGCTGAAGTCATTATGTCCAGGCCAACCAAGTAGATACATCTTGAAGATTCCCACCTTCCTCTGTACCACGAGGACAGGAAACATCCTGGTGTCTGACTGGGGATCCACGTGTGTCGTGTGTCTGACTCCCGAGGGAGACGTGGTGTTCACCTACAGCCCTACAGGAGACACAACACTGAAGTATCCACACGGTATCACAAGTACCAGCACAGGCGACATCCTGGTGACAGACCACCATCTACACAGAGTCCTCCATCTGACTGAGTCAGGGCAGTTTGTTAGAAACATACTGACATCACTGGATGGTGTCCAGTATCCACGTGGAGTGTGTGTTGGTGGGCGTGGCCGTATGTACGTGTGTACACCAGATGGAGTGAAGGTATTTACATGTAAGTGAGTGAACATGTCACAATTCTCCTTTCAAAAAACTATAGTCACGTCTTTGTTGGGGGATTTAAGTGTAGTGATATGTGTCATTGTGTATTTACCTGTAAGCACCTTTCACTGTATTGGGTAAAATCAAATTCTACGTTTGTGTTGAAGCTCTCATCTTAGCCTTACTATTTGAATGTGATGAATGAAGATTTAACTTGTTTACACATTCTTCGTGTACTGCTCGCATTGAGATCTATTCTGAGCATTGTCTAATTTTATATATTATGAACTTCGGATTAAAGTTGATCAATTATTTCAGAATACCAGATCATCCGTATGATGTGTTTTTCCTGTTTGTAATCATAACGCGAGTGCAACACCGAGTTAATCCTTCGGTGTTATAACTAGAGGTGGTGTAAGCTATGGTTGTGTAGGATTGATATTTACATGACACTTATCCTTGCTTGCTATGCTGAGAACAATAAGCAGAAGATGGGACGAATGTAAGTAAAATATGAGCCTCAGTGTTCAACAGAATCACCTGAAACTACTATTGTACATATATACATTAAATGTACTGATTGTTTTGGTAGCTTTACTGAACTGTTTCGCTTTATGAAACAGAACCGATTGCTCTCTCGTTCCTGCAGTGAGGACGTGTGACATTCACTTGGCTGTTGATCGGTCTAAGGGAGATAAATCGTGATGCAATGTTTTTTGAAGCGCCATAAAATGCAGTGAACGAATGCACTTGAAGCTATGAACATTTTATCACAGAGTGTGCCGTTCATGTGCGTTACAAATAAATGAATCCACTGTAATTCTATGTTGGTCAAAGCCGCGATATTCAAGCTACATGTATATGACGGTAAATATTCGAGTATGGACGCGAGAAACAAGTGATTGACATCCCGAGATACATCCAAAGTCGTTGGGTCTCGATGACACTGTATCAACCAAGTGGTGGAGCCTTGTTGTTTTCCGCCGCACTCCGCAACATTCCAGCTATGACCAGACAAACCTATGATTGATAGTAAGAACAGCGTCCCACGTTTATTAAGGATGTTTTTAGAAACTAGTTTGAAGTATTTTGGGCCTAATACAGCTCTGCCAAGACTGGGTTTACCTGAACAAGCTAGAAGTATATCAACATATTCCGTAGGGATTCCAGGTCACTAATCTTTCCGGGCCAGACACCGTTACGTGGATGAACCTTTCTACATTTTTAGGGTGCCAACCCCATCCTCTTCTGAGTCCCGAATACCGTTTTCAGTCTCATTTTCTTATTCCTGAAACCAGAATGCTACTCGTCACAAATCTCAAAAGCATTGGGAAAAGGGTGCGATTTCAAATAAAATTACAGAAAAAAAAGAAATATTTGAAGAAAACCTTTGCGTACACCACTTTTGGGAATAAATGTTGAACCTGCATACCAAATACGATCTTATATGAGTACACATCGCTGAGTACCGAATACACTCTTAATAGACCCCTAAATCCCACTTACCAAAATGGGGGTTGGCAGCCTCGTTTTTGGGACGTTCTTAATAAACCGGAGTTAAAGTTGAGAATCTGTGAGCCCTGAAATTAATTGAGTCCTCATTTTAAGAAAAGAATATACTTTTTTTGCCAACGTTTATAAAACGTTTGTCGTTTGATATTGTAGACTGATGGTTCAACGCACATAAAGTTTTAGAAACGAGAGTCCTACAGATACGCATTTGATACGAGAGGTTAGAACTGAGATCTGTTTAGATATTTTGAATTCGGTTCATAAGTACATCCAGCGTTCTGCTAGATTTGCACTGATGTAATAATTTAAGACTGAATTCATACTTTAAGATAAGTACTAAGTATTAAATAGTTAATGACTTGCTTTTCTAAAGAACTGAACACCTGTCCATCAACTGCACCAAACTTTTGACCACTCGTTTTGGCCTCATGGTTTATTCTCCCTGCAGTGTTTTATTGTACGATAAACAACTCCCACTTATTTCTTAAGTATTTAATCTCTCACCCAAGCCTTACTATTTGAATGATATGAACAGATATCCAGTTGGACAAGGTGTGTAATTGTTTGCACAATCTATATGTAATCTAAATAGCCAGATACAGCTGTTCACATACTGCTTTTGTGAATCTAACATGAACATATCGCACAGTAGAACACATCTGAATTTTACATGGAATTGTGATAGAATTTTAGATATTGACTGTACTAATTTTGAACGTATGTAGATTCTATAAATTATATATTTATATGATATGGAATTATATCTGAAAATAAATCCATGTGACATGTTTGTAATCATAACTTCAGTTGTTATGGAGCTATTTCCACTCTGTATCCTGGTGATGTTGTGAGATATGTATGTGTATGATGAATATTTTTACAAGACACTAATCCTTGCTCGTCAGGCTGGAAAACACAAATGAGCAACACTGTTTTGTTACAGCTTCAAAGACGTTGTTCCGACGACACTGATGCAGATGGAAGTTCCACTGTTCTGCCACGTGTCCTGCAGAGGAATCAGGCCCAGGAGGGTCAAGTCAGAGTTAGATAGGCGGATCATATGACGTGGAACACGAAAACAGCCAAACGAGTCTAGAATATTACTTAAATTCGTCGCCTGATTTCTGTACGTCATAGAAGGTGACTAAATTGGTGATCAGTTGGCATTAGCTACAGTAATTATTTTGCTAAATTTACTAAACTGTGACGTGTTGTGAAGCACAGAACCAATAGCTCTCTCGTTGATGGGAGGAATTGCCAAATTCACTCTGGAACTGAGTGGTCTAAGGGTAATATATCGTGATGCGATGTTTTGTGAAGCCAGTCAAATTAAAAACTTAGACATTTTTAAAAGTAATCCCATATATAATATACAACGGCCAAATGTATCAGAGAAGGTAATTTTTAATCATTAATGTCAAAAGACGGATTTTAATTAACGAAGGTAACCATAATTTGTTCCAAGCACCTACGGTATTCGGTAATAACATCAACAGTTTAAGTCATAAGTCCCAAGCACGAGAATCTGTTGGCACACAAGTTCAGTAGCGTCAAAATTGCTGTGTGGGGTCTGGCATTGTCGTGTTGGAAGATCAAACCGGGTCCATGTGCTGCCATTAAAGGCAGAAGTTCTGGTGCTAGTACCCGGTCGCGGCAAGCAGCAGCGATGAGGTTGCCACGGATGACAAGAAACCTGGAACGTGCATTGCCACAGAAAGCACCTCACACCATGACACTTCCGCCTCGAAATCTGTCAACTTCCTGTACACAACACTGGGCGTAACGTTCATGACGGCGCCTCCACACCCTCGCCATACACTCAGCAAATCGAAGATTAAATCGGAATTCATTACTGAAGACGACTTGATTCCAATTCCTCAGAGTCCATCGTAAGTGTCACTGTGCCAACATTTGACGCTGACGTCTGTGTAATTGAGTCAGAATCGGCCCACAGTATGGCCGTCGTGCTTGAAGATGAGCAGTTCTCAGACGGTTTCGAACAGTTTAAGTTTGCGCACTCAGTCTACCCCTAAACAGTTCGTTTCTGGTTGATGTAGCCGTCAAAAATCGGTTACAGAGGTGACGTAAGACAATCTGACGATCCTCTGCATGTGACGTCACACGTGGTCGATCTGGCCCAGGGCGATCAGCGGTGGTACCCGTTAGCTGTAGACGCGTCTGTAAATCATAGACCGGACTACAAACCATCGTCCTTGCGACTTCAGCCACGGACGTTCCCGTCTGCAACATGCCGTTGGCACGTTCACGTTGCACATTTGAAAGGCGTGGCATGACAAATGGCCGTAAAGACTTTTGTTTTCTTGTGTTTTTCTTATTTTGTTAATGACTGCTAACAAGTGTGGCTGAAAAGACGTGCGGTGTTATGGCGACGTGACCAGTTGCACGTGAAAAAAAACTTTTTCCACTATGGTGCTGTGCACATGATTTTGATCGATTCACCTGCACAAAAACGAGTGTTACCTGAAGACAATACGTGGCCATTACAGTTTAAATACACAATAAGGGCCCACAATGATAACTGGTCAAAATGTTAAAATTTTAGGATTGTGAAGTTTTTAATTTGGTTCAGTATACATGCTTCAAGGATGAATGTTGTATGTGAAAACATGGACATCACTGTTCGTGCTGTCGATATATGTTCCACATTAATTAATCCAATGTACATATACGTTTGTGTGTGATAACACGAACATGTTATCACTGTTATGCTATTGATGCTTGATGCAAAGTACAGAAAGATACAGCATTTACGACTTTGTGCTTATTGTACATTGCACCCACCAAGTGAGCTTGAAACAATTAGTTTGAGAGCAGCTTACAGACATATTAGCCACTGTATGTTGGTAAATAATTATGTTATACAGGTGAAGGAAACCCGGAAGAAGTGAGTATCGTAACTTATTCTCGAGCAAATAATTGTAGTTTTCCTGTCATCAATATTACAGCTGTATCATGTCAGTCTGTAAGTTTGTTTGTTGTTGTCGCGGCACTCAGGATTATTCCAGCTCCATGAAAGCGGCCTTTAAATAATCGAATCTAGACCCAGTGTATTTAGAACAAATACAAAACGCCCATTCGCCTCCACTCGGCCCTATTTTGGTGACCTGCAAGCAGCTTGTCCTACTTTGACACGAGTTGGTAACGAAACTGACGGTAGCTCAATTTCCCTCCACAGCGGTTATCTGCTTGTCTCAGGTAAGTGTGTTGTCACAAGGCTTGCGTCTACTTCAGTTATAACGCTACACACCTGTCCTACTGTTTACTGGTAACACCACAAGGGTTCATCTAACTAAACAGTCATCTCCAGGCAGATTCTCATAACCGGGCACCTAATTAAATATAACATGTAGGCTAACCGGAATACTTTAAAGATCCACTGTCATTAAATACTCTGATCGGCCACTTGACTTAAATACTGAGACTCATCCCGATGTACGTGTATGTATATATCACGTGTGTCTGTTACAGTTGTTACTGACATGAACCCTGACAAATGCTTCAGTAAACCATACGGGAAAATAATTCCACATAACTGTATTATTTCACATCTGATATGGTTCTTTATTATGTGAACTGTAATAATGTCTCCTACTTTCGATATGGTAATGAGTGGGTGTCACCCCATAACTATGTCACGTGATCGATACACTGCACACGGTTCACAAGTGCACGCACTTCATGTTGTAAATGCACCTGCACAATGAGAGGAGAGAGAGAGAGAGAGAGAGAGAGAAAGAGAGAGAGAGAGAGAGAGAGAG